TCCGCGATATCATCTGGCGGTTTCCTCAGAGTGTCCAATCCATCTCCACTTCCTTCGGTGTATTTGACAAGCAATAAATAGGTGCTTGATTGATTCGTTCCCAGAGTTCCTTGTTACTGACTCTTTTTAGCCATCTGGCCTTCTGTATTGAGCGAAGGCAGCTGCTGTTGGAAATGCTTTTCTTGACGCATCAAGTTTCCGACTCATCTAGAAGAAATGAATTAACACTGGTGTTGAAAATCCGAAATTTGTTCTTTACGCTGAGTGCAGCCGATTTCCAGACTGATTTCAGAGGGATAAAGGTCTGTCTTGCCTTTCCGAATTTGAATTTGACATCCTCATCTCTGCCTTCTGTAGTTGAAACGATGCTGATTAGATAAGTGAAGGAAGTGACCTCTTTAAAAAAACTTTCCACTGATAGTCATTGGTGTTTGTTGTTGTTGTTGCTGTTGGTTGGTTATCTTCACCTCTGTCTTCTCTATGCTTACTTGAAGTCCTGTCTTCTGCAAACTTGTTGGTTTTCACCTAAAAGCCTTCGAATTTACGTGACATTAGACATAAATCGTCCGCGAAATCCATGAGCAAAATGAATTTAGAACTTGGTTCGAGAAGTGTACAACAGGCTGAACGCATTTAGAACATTTTAATATGCAGGCGATTTCCCCTGCATAAACCAATTTAGAAGTTAAGTAAAATTCACTTTTAGGGCATAAAAAACTCAGGCGGATGGAACTGATGAGGATATCAAGGCGAGGATCGGGAAAGCAAGACAAGCTTTCATTACTCTTAAGTCTGTGTGGAGATCAACAGCACTCAATATGAAAAATAAGATCCAGATTTTCAACTCCACTGTGAAATCAGTGCTATTTGGTGTACGGATAAGGGACTTGGCGTGTCAGGAGGGGTACTTCGAACAAACTACACACCTTCATCAACAGCTTTCTTCGCTCACTACTACTCAAGATCAGATGGCCGGCTAGAAAAGATCAGGAACATGGATCTCCGGCAATGAGTGAATCAACCCATGAGGAACCGACTGTGCAACAAATATGCAGGAAGGAATTGAGGTGGATTGGCCATACTTTGAGGAAACCATCAAGTGACATCACTACACAGGCCATCACTCTAATGGAACCCGAACGGAAAGCGGCGAGCTTGTTGTCAGTGCGAGGGTGGGGTGTCATGTGAAGAGGAGATGTGGGCAGACATAGGACCAGGTGAAAACGTTGGCGGAGAACCGAACGCAATGGAGACGTGTGGTTGAAGCCTTATGCTCCTCTAGGAACTAAAGGAAACAATAATAATATCTAATAACGGACAGATGAATAAATTCAACGTAAAACATTTTGCTACCGTATATAGAAAGCATTAAAGTATTATCTGACACCATTAGTTAATGACAAACTTGAAAACTGTGATGTAATGCCTGAAATTGTTTATTGAAAACACAATTGTTAGCTGAAATTATTCCCGTTCAGAAAGTAGAAATTTCGTGTTTTCAAAAGAAATCACCAAATGAAGAAAACTTATGCGGCTTAATGAAGCAACAACGACTAAATTATTGAATGAAAACAACACCTGAGTACTTGATTGTCAGACCATGATGGAGAGAAAGAGGTTAAAAATGAGATAATTAATAACTAGATAAACTGTTAGATAGTCACTGAAAACCTTCACATTAGTGATGTTGAAAAGGACACACCAAAAAAAAAGGAAAACGCAGTTTCGCTTTAAACCTATACACATATTCCCAATGATTACACAAATACATAGTAGTAAAATAAGTGAAGCACATGCGATGAGCAGTTGAAAAGAGACCGTAAGATACTTTAATATTATTATTATTGTCTAATTTTTTAAATCAAATGAAGGAGTTAAGAGGTAAGAGACGATGAAGACGATGAATAATACTATGCTAATAAATTTGATAAAGCTAAAATAGTATCCTGATTATATTGACAATAGAGGCATACTAGTTATCCTTACTTACACATTGTTTCTATCTAACCAAATAGATTTTATGTTTACAGTTTAAGAGAAAGAAAGGTGGAATAAACACTCAATTAGCATGCAAATAACATTAATAATAAACGGTAGACAAAGCATCATTATATATATATATATATATATATATATATATCACACTCCTGTAAAACAAAAAACAATTTGTATAACAATGCTGGTCGGAGATTCATGGAGCAAAAATTGATTCACCGAATAATTGGGTGAGGTTTGATAATACGATGGTGTATTCCTGAGGTGAAAGAATTTCAACTGTACGTGTTGTTATAGCATAAATAATGCACAGTGAAATGTAGATTATTAATCTATGTTAAGATTGCCAGTAGTATCCTAAGTGGAAAGGCGATTCAACCAATGAAGTTACTGAGGTGTCTGGGTGGGATATATTTTTCTATGTTGGAAGAGGGATGGTGATGCTCACAAGTTAAGGCTAGTCATCAAACCATGACGTTTGAATCCGATTATGGGTAAAATTTGTTTTGATAAAGTCTCACAGTGTTATACAGTAATGTTTACTGATGACCACATTTCGAGCACAATTTATTGCTGCTCATAATCATATCAAGGTACTCATACAACTTTCTAACTTCGTTTATATAATTCCATTATTTTCCATCGCTTGATTTGATTGGTAGTAGTATTTTCCATATTTCGGGTATGAGTGATGAGTCATTCCTATTGCATGTGTTGGGTGTAGACTCGATGAACAAGGATTCAGTAATCAACCTCTCTCTCCACCTACCTAGATTACTTTTTAGAATTTTAACCCTCTCCCATCCTATTGTGTGGTTGTGTGTTAATGCATGCAGTGCAATCGCTGAGCTTTTTTCTAAATTACTTATCTCCTCGGGGTCAACCATTCTAACCTTAGTTAAATTCTTATGTTCTGACAATCTGACTACCCCTGACCTACTAGTTTGACCTATGTAGTTGAACTCACAGTCATTGCAGGGTATTTTGTAAATTATATTATTTTGTCTAATTGGGTCAACTACGGGTCCTTTAACCTACAGAGCTTGTCCTACCTGAGTGAGTTTGTAGGTTTAAATGCCACCCTAATTCCTGCTTTATTGAGAATCCTACGTAGGATCTCAGATGTCCCCTCCTTATATGGTATAATAGTAGATGCCTTATATTCACTCTTATTTATGTTATCATTACTAGTTTCACAATTATTTTTATTTCACTTTTGGCCTTTACTGATCTTCCTAATGAATTTTATAGGATAGTTATTTGATACCAACGCTTCTTCTATCTGTTTTATTTCATCATTTAGGTCTTTTTTGTACTACTTAGTGCTACTGCTCGGTTTGTTAGACACTTAACTAAGCCTGCCTTAACAGTTAACGGATGAGATGAATTAAAGTCTAAATATCTATTAGAATGAGTTGTTTTTTATAAACACTAGTGTGCAGTTTACCCTCTTCTATTCGTTTTATTTTACAATCTAACATAGCTAATTCTCCTTGTTCATTTTCCGATTCAAATGTGAATTTTATTCCCTCTACTAGTGAGTTTATGTGTGTCAAGAAGCTAGAGATATTTTCTGTTTTTAACACTGTGAAAGTGTCATCCACATATCTCCACCATATTTTTGGAGTAGGATTAAATGTATTAAGAGCCATATTTTCCCAGCTGTCCATAAATATATCTGCTACGATAGGGGATATTGGTGATCCCATTGCTACACCTTCTGTTTGTCTATATATTTTGCCTTGGAATTTAAAGATAGTAGATGTGAGGCATAACTGAATTCCTAAAATAATTTCTTCAGTGGGTAGCTTCGTCCTATAAGTGAGTTCAGGATCTACAGTTAGTTCTTTTTTAACTGCTTCTAAGGCCATATTGATTGGTTTGTTAGTATAAAGACTAGTTATATCAAAACTAACCATTGTTTCATCATTCTCTAGTTGAATGTCATTTAGTTTATTTTTCATCTCATATGAATTAGTTAGTCTAGAGTTTGAACGATTTCTAATGGGGCATAGTATTAGAGCTAAGTGTTTTGATAATTCATAAGTATTCCTAAAGTCTACTATTGGTCGTATGGGGTCGTATGTTGATTACTGAATCCTTGTTCATCGAGTCTACACCCAACAAGTGCAATGGGAATGACTCATCACTCATACCCGAAATATGGAAAATACTACTACCAATCAAATCAAGAGATGTAAAATAATGGAATTATATAAACGAAGTTAGAAAGTTGTATGAGTACCTTGATATGATTATGACCAGCAATAAATTGTGCTCGAAATGTGGTCATCAGTAAACATTACTGTATAACACTGTGAGACTTTATCAAACAAATTTTTACCCATAGTGGAGTTATACTCTACCACAGTGCACAAGTTTTATTCTTATACCATGACGTTTGAAATATGTCAGTAAAGTGTGTCGACGCATTGGAGGTGTTGACTCGCTAAGAATTAAAGACTGACGATCCTACAGTTTTCATGATATAACTACAATCATCTTGGGACTTTTGAACAGTTTAACTGACTTTCACTTATGCATTTCTTTTCATTCCATAACACATGTTTATTTCTCCCTCCTCAGTAACCATGGAGTGTGACAACTTTAATTGCTCTCTCCTACATAAATGATATACGCTGGTCAGCCTATCTGATTATGAACACTTCATATAAATCAAATAGCATAACTCAGTACGCTACTATTACCTCGCCATAATATCTGTAGACTTTGTTTAGCTCCCCACTTAAGGTGGTATTGCTTACAAACACTGATAACCTGTAAAAAACAAAATGCCAACAGAAAGTGGGAATAAAAAAAAACACAATTAACAGAAAGAATCCTGATAAATGATTTCAGGTTAAGCTTTCGATGTTTTGCAACATAAGCCATAAAATACAGTTACAAACTAGCTCTGTTTAAATATACTCAACAGAAAGGTACTGATGTGGAATGCTTGATTTTGATTATTATTATTATTAAATAGGATAAACAAATAAACTTACGTAGACTAACACAACGAATATGAACAGTCCCAATTATACAATTGCTTTGTAGACGCCAAACATGTAAATCGTGAATTTTATGTATCCCATCAATCTAAATTTTAGAATAAGACAAGAAGAAAAAGGTTAAACAAAAGTGTCTTTTGATAACTCTTTTTTTTTGCATCAAAAACCAACTGTATATGCATAATTAAAATATTAAAAAAAACACAGGTGACCACAGAACCCTTTGGATACTTTCACTAAATTCTGTTGAACTTATTCGACGGGAAAACAATTTAAGTGGATAGCATAACTCTCTATACTCACTATGAATACTTCGTATTATTAACAACACTCCTTCTAGGCGAGGACGCTGACAAAATGCAGAATCTTCTGAACACCTTGAGCTGCAATCTACGAATGTTTGGCATGCGATTCGCTCCCGCCAAATGCAAGATGATGTTACACGATTGGACTACACCGACTCCTAGATTAGAAATAGGAAATGAAGTGGTAGAGCACGTTGACGGCTTCACTTATTTGGGAAGTACCATCAGCCCCAACGGGTTGATCTCTGACGAAATCTTAGCACGGATACAGAGGGCCAGTTTCGCATATGCCAGTTTACGCCATCTCTGGCGTAGACGTGATATCCGACTATCGACCAAAGGGCGTGTGTACTGCTCATCAGTTCGCTCCGTCCTCCTTTATGGCTATGAGGCCTGGCCATTGAGGGCCGAAGACATGAAAAGACCAGCTAACTGTCTTTGATCATAGGTGTCTGCTTTCAATCTCCCGTGTGAAGTGGTATGATAAGGTGAGCAATATTGAGGTTAGGCGTCGAGTGCTAGGTAAGGAGGGGAAATCAGTCGACGAGGCTGTGAAATTACATCGACTGAGATGGTTAGGACATGTGTTACGTATGCTTAGTCGTCGCCTTCCTCGACGGGAAATGTTAGCTGATATAGGGTCAGGCTGGAAGAGAGCTAGCGGCGGTCAAACCAAAACATGGCACCAGTCAATGAAATCTACAACAATTAGTCTAGGCCACGTAGGAAGGTGTAGACTTCCTGGTTGGGGTCCTCGGGACGGTAAAAACCAATGGTTGGAAACAGTTGATGATATGGCTCAAAATCGTTCTCAGTGGCGCAGATGCATCCACTCCTTGTGACTTATGATTGATTACCAATGAAACTATATTGTTCTTCGTTATTACTATTCCTTTGTCTCACACCTCTGTTTACCGTCTCTGATATACATTTCTCCTACTTTCTTCTCTTGCTTTGTGTGCTACATGGAGTGTGGCGACTTGAACTGCCGCACATATGTGCAAAGTTCTATGTCGAAAACAGACGGACAGACAATATCAACAACACAACTACCCTTTTGATGACCAGTTTGAAAATATGACAACTGGAAGTGATTAACTATGTTTTTCTTTGAATAAAATTCACAGTTTAAAAAGTAGTGTGTTACGTAATGCGGCCAAGTACTTTTCAATATAAAATTCGAGCACACTCATGGTCAAGTGTGCAGAAGAGCATACAGGATGAAAAGATATCAGTTTTGATTAGTCTTACTTTAGAGATTGTTTTTGAATTTGCTTAATATGTTACTCCAATTATGATAATCATAACCACAATAAAATCAGTTAGAGCGTGTAGCCGCCGATAGTGTGTTTTGTGTCCGTAAGTAGTTTGTTAAAGATCATGACACTATATATATATATATATATATATATATGAACAAATAAAAGGAACACCAATGGGATCGCCCATATCAGGATTAATAGCTGAAAACGTTATGCAAAGATTAGAATTAATAGGTCTACCTATAATTAAACCGAAAATCTGGATACGTTACGTTGATGATACATTTGTAATAATTAAGAGAAGTGATTTAGAATATACTCATAAATTAATAAACAACATATTTGAAGACCTCAAATTCACAAGAGAAGAAGAATTAGATAACAAAATCCCATTTTTAGATGTCTTAATCAAGAGAACCAACACAGAAGATTTAGAAACACAAGTATATAGAAAATCAACGCACATAGGTCAAATATTCAACTGTACTAGCAATAGTCCAGTTACTCACAAACGAAACTGTGTGCAGACATTGTTTCAAAGAGTTCAAATACATTGTAGCACTCCAGAGTTGAAAAGAATGGAAGAAAAGTACCTACAAAGGTCTTCAAAAGGAATGGTTTTCCACAAAATTTCATCAAAAAGTGTTTAAAGTCGAATCAAAACACCAACAAAGAACCATTATCAAAGACCACAAGAAAATTTATTCTACCATACATGAGGAATATCTCTGAAATAACAGCTAGAATACTGAAACCGTTTGATATAGATATAGCACACAAGCCAGTAAAGTCGCCTAATTAGATATTATGCAAACCAAAAGATCCAACAGAAAAAGGGGATAAAATTAATACCAACACAATTACATTTAGTGTATTTACTCAAGCTATGGAAATAGAAGGATAAGCGCAACTCAAACAACAAGAGTTAAGCGTTTGGAAATGTTCAATAAGGAGCTGATAAAATATTATATTTATTTGATAGTGGTCATGTAGTGGAGAAAACGAAAGCTTTCAAGGTAATTCATCGTATCTCATCGAATCTTTAACAATAATAGACTTCGTATTCGTCTACTGCACACAGTTGAGGCGATAAGCATTCGAACTATTTAAGCCTAAACTATGCATTCAAAAGAAGTTCATACAGCCAGTATCCCTCTCTTGGCCTATTAAGACCTAAACACAACTGTGATAGCGCCTCCACCACTCCTTAATTATATTGTCAACACCTCTTTTATCATCCTTTAATTTTATCACATCTTCATTAAAACGTATTTTATTTACTTACTTCCCTTACAATCAGTCTAGCATTACTTAATCGGTTCATTTGTTTTTCTTAGCCTGTATCGACTACTTCCACCTGAACACATTTCTTTGTCTAGTCGTGCTGTTTTTCGTTATTCTTGTTATCACAGATCGTCTCACGATTTCATCCTTGTTATTCATAGAACCATTATTATTATTACCACTATTATTATTATTATTATTATTATTATTATTATGACTAAATGTACAATTTATACGCACAATCTTATTATCCTCTAGACAAAACACTATGATTGGTTTTTATTTGAATTTATGTACATTCGAGTTAAGCATGATGAGATCTAATTGAAAACAATAATGTTCGCTTAAATATGTTGTTCTAAAGTATTATACATTAAGTCTTTTATGATTATGAAGTGTACATCTTTTTTTCTAAAATTTCATTCTAATGAACCCCTGATTCTCCCCAAAACCTTAACGATATTTATTCAGTCACCACAATAGTCGGCTACATGAATAACCAACCCATCAAGTAAATAATAATAATAACAACATATCACTGTGTGCTATACCAAGCGCACAAGCTAACATGGTGTACAGATAATCCTTAAAATTAAGTACAATTCTGTGTGACTGTGGTAGATCTACGATCTCTCAAATAGTTTCTAATTCACTTAACATGTGTGTACATATTTCTCATCGTGCATGCATGCATGCATTGCTCAAGTTTGTGGACGTAAAAAATGTTCATATAACAAAATCCACTGCTCTGAATTATTGTTTACGCACTATTCAAGTTTATACATACAAAACACACTATGTAAAATAAACTAGTAAGTAGCTGCCTATTTTGCCTATATCTCACAGATAACTTTTAAGTCAAAGGTATTTTGGAGGAAAGTGAACAACAGGCTAAATTTTGTGTTTATTTTTATTTTTCCTTTAATTGATTGAGCATGATAAAAAGAAGACTACATGCCTACAATGATGTATGCCTGAACCTTAAATGCTAGTTAATGCAAGAAACATCTTGCTATGAAAGTCGATAATGATGTCAGAGAACATTAAATAACTCTAATCTTCATAATGAATAAATCTTCTAATGTGTTTGGGAAGCTAAGGAAACAATACCAAAATGTACTATCGGTGACAACTGTTCTGAGATCTTATTCACAAGATCACATTAAAGATATTCTTAGAAAAAGTTCAATTATTTATTTATTTATAAGCATAAAATAAAGGATGATAAAAGTTGAGAAATACTTCCAGCTTTTTGTCATTTTATCTTTGGACAGGAGTTTACTCCTTGACAATTTATTTAATAGAATTAAATGTATGCCAACCACACCGGCCACGCCCCAAGGTTATAACACTAAAATTACATCTGAATAGCACATTTGTTTTGACTGGTTTCCGATAACTAATTGATTTTTGTTTTATAACATTAGTGATATCGTTCCTGCTTTATTCTTTTCTTACACAAAGCCACTACTATGCCCTTTTTTCATTCAGCTGTTTCACCCTTAACAATAATAGTACGCATAAAAAATAATGTCAAAAATGAAATGTTTGTTAAAAAATGAATAACAATATGCGATTTGCAAATAACCTTACATTTTCCATGCGCGCTTTTAAATTCTTCAAACAAATCTCACTGGGAACGGATTGCAACAAAATTAATGTAGCTTTGTACACTGATTAGAAAAAAAAGGGAAAAAAGAAATTAAGATCAAATCCTCAGTATTATTAAACGTGTTTCAGAAAAAATTGGTTACTACAAATAATCATAAAACAATAAAGTAAAAACGGTATGTCCCAACATCCTTTCCAAATTAACACCAACAAAATTCAATGAAATAACACCAGTCAATCTAATGAAAAAAGTTAAGAAATGTCCTTTTTAAATTTAAATGTTTCTCACTCACTGTTTTAAAAAAGTTGAATAAACGAAATGATTCTGCAAGACTCTGAACGGTATTCGTCCTGAGTAGTCGGGAAACTTTACACTAATAATAATTAGCCAAACTATCTAATAGATCAGTCTAGCTAAGTAAGTCGGAAGAATGCCATACACATTGAGCATATTATTATTTGCATATATACAGCTCAAATGGGTTCCACTAGGCTATGTTCTGCCAACTATTTGGCTCAATAACTGTTTATTCGAAGTCATTGCCTACGTCCCGCTGGGTGTAGGTTGGAAAATAATGAATTTCTGCAGCTGTTATAAAAAGCAGAACTTTGAAATATGGTTCCATTAGGATTGATTTCAATCTAATTAGGTATTCGGAGCTATAGAATACAGTACTATCTTCAAGCATAAGGGGATACAACATTTCATTTGGCAACAATCGAGATGAGGAAACCAATGGACAAACATAGATCATTTGATTACAAATAATGGGTCTGGGGGATCTGTGGCTCAAAATCAGTCATACGTTAGCTTATACATACGTATACTTGCAACTGGTTGCGCATAAAAACACAAGCAGTTACGGAGATAGTAATAATCAAGCTGAAGAAACGTAGAAGTATGCTCGATCTTTTGCAGAAACAGAAGTGAAGACAACTGATGACATTTAATTAGAAGTTAGTAAAAACCAGTGGATATTTCTAGTCTCGTTGTTACTGGCAGATGCTAAGAGACTGTTTGCGAAAAGCTCCAAACATGACGCGGGGGGCAAAAGGTGCTTATATGTACACTTAAGTTTCCTTAACGATTGCGAGCAGTCCAGTAAGACAAAATTGAGAGAAACGGCAAAAGAACCAACCTAGATAGTTCCCGTTATGTATTTTGGGTGAAGTAAATGAGTCAATACTCTAAGATGGAACTTGAACAGCGCATTACAGTTTCCCACCATCGAAATCCAACTTTAGTGGATAATGAATGTCGATTTTTTCAACTAAGGTACTAGTCAGTGAATAGCGATGTGAGATAGTTTTATCAGAGTAGAAGGAGTTGGTAATTATCCCAGTTTATAAGAAAGACAGTAAACTTGCGATAACTACAGACTAATCACTTCGATTAGTTTGATTCTCACTAACACAGAGTTTGCAGTCATACAAACACTGTGTGGTCATAGTGAAAAACGAACTCAATATAAAGACGAATGAAAATGTATCTAGAAAACAAGGAAACACCAAATCTCACGAACACCACGAATATCTCTTAATTATTTTGATCAGAAAGAAATATTGCAAAGGAATTTTTATCAACATATTCCCTAAATGACGAGAACTGACAAATACTTTATGAATAAAAATGTGAATTAAAATCTTGTTAACTTACTGAGGGGTATAGCAGTGATCAAGATTATGGTAACCATCAGTATGCTTAATGGATTGAAATGTTGAATTAAAAATACATGTATTATTATTAAGCTAAACAACAACACTACTTATATGTTACACCTACAACTAAAAATTCTGTGCAATCACATTAAAACTTAACCATAAAATCCTCGCTTTTTGATCGGATCATATAACAGACAGTGCAACTACATACCATATACACATACAATACTAAGTGACTAGGCTATCACTTATGAACAGCGTCATGAAGAAAAGTTTCCAGTTTATCGAATTATTGCTTAGAAACGAGGAGGAAGTTTTATCTTAAAAATAGTGTAAAAATGTAGCTAAAAGCTCTATAGATTTGAAAAATAACCATTTGGTTAATACCATAGATACTTTTTACTTAAAATACTTTGCTGAAGTTAGAAGGTAAATCAATTATTACAGCAAAATTAAGACAACGTCGCCAAGCCGTAGTCTCAAAATGTTTCACTGCGTAGTATGTAAAACAGTAGATAAAACAGCTAAGAGCTAGTAATGTCACGCGAAAAGCTATCAGACACCAACTTTATTACCAAGACACTATTTTACTCGATGGCAACAAAGAAAACTGCTTTGCATGAAATACTTTTTCGCAAGCTATTCGGTTAAGAGACGGGTGAGCAGACTGGTATCAAAACGTATGACAACTTCAAATTTAAACTATTGAATTTATTGATGTTTTTACACACCTTTAGACTGAATTTTATATGTTTCCTCAATGATCTTTTATTGTCTTTAATTATAAACCAACAATAAGCCGAAAAAGACGTTTCCTCACCCATTATATATATATATATATATATATATGATTATAAGAAATAGTTTGTGCTCGAAACGTCATCAGTTAATATTACTGCACAACACTGTGATTTATCAAAATAAAATCTTATCCATAATGGAGTTATGCTCTACCACAGTACTCAAGTTTTATACTTATATCAATGGATACTAAATGATATATTACAGTTAAATATTTCACGTAAATTAAGTGGACAGAACTAATGTACCCAAACAAAATTGAATACAAAAAGCGCCCTGTATACCCAAACTAACAACTTAGCCATTCAAAAATATTTAAGAACTTACCTCATAGCCGGATCAATGTACAGTTTCCAAACTGCTTCGCCCTTAGAAACTTCCCCAGGCACCAACCACAATACTAGTGCGCTAATTACAACAATAACAGAACCCATGAAATCAGCTAGCACATGTAGAAATACAGCCTGCATATTCATTGAGCCTTTGTGAGCTAGATTTTTCAATTTAAAAGATGCGTTAAAAATGTTTAATTCACATAACTCATCTGACAAAGCTAACGAAAGATGTGTTTTGGATAATTAAAGAACTGAAATACTATGGTCACAGAGCCTCATGACAAACTTCCTCCCTGTAAAGAGGTACTGGGTGGTGGCATGCACATTATGTCATTAAAAAATAATTATTCGCACACACAAACCCGCCAAATGGTTTACATCCGACAAAAACAAGCCTACCTGAATATTTTCGATGCATGATTACCGGGATTAGAGTAGCACCTCCAAAATTATTTAAAACACAGTGACCACAAGAGAAAGTTTATTGGTGATAAGGAGACGATCCCCATTGAGATGTAACATTACTCTTGGTACACTTGTCCTACCTACTTATTAATCTTACTCTATTTGTCTCCTAAATGTCTAATCACCCCATCGTTGTTTACTTTGACTAACCTGCTTTTAAAAACTTATCAAAAAGACCACAACTTGTATTTATTTATACTACTGTATTTAAAATAAAGTAGCTGAAATCCTATATTCTATGTGACATAAATAACTGCCATAGCCAATACACGAAAACCGACTATGCGATGAGGTCCACAGTCCACCGATTTGAGTTCTTTCAAATAAACAATCCCCTCAAAATGAGATGTTGAGCTATTTAATGGATTCTTTAATGCTGATTTACTCGTTTTCCTTAGAAATACTCAGTATGAATTGGATAAGGTTTTCAAGACCAAGACAAAACACAGGAATGAAATTAGATGATGGAAAGAGAAACTAACTTCAAATGAGTAAAACTTTATGATTGGTTTTAAAGATAATCCACCATGAACTAACAAAATGAGCATAGTAATTACAATAAAGACCTTACTCACACTTTTTCGAGTGGTTATGTTTTATTTTAACAGACACTTTCTGTTTGTTGAGGACATCTTGAGATGTTTTGAAATGATCATGTTGATCCTTATCAGTAAACGTTTGCATTACATTACCATCCACTCTATCACTACATACGTTGTTCGCTCCTGAAATAGAATGAGCCGAATTAACTTGATAAAAGGATCCGTCTGAATTATTGAGAGGCAAGGTAGCACCGAAGGCTGTCGGAGTCAGTGGTGCCTTTAAAATATTCAAAATAAGTGGTAAAAAGATTTTGTAAGTGCACATACAACAGTAATTAGGCTTGTATAATATGCACAAAACTAATTTTAAAGAAATAGCTGTATAATTTTAATTATCTCCCACTTAAAGATATATCCATCATAACACTCATGCAACCTTAAACTTCCCTAGATATGATTCACAATATGACGTAACAAAAGTTAACTAAAACTACTTTTAGGTTTGGGTTGAAACAGAGATATCCTAAACACTGCTATCAAGAGTTCGGAGATGGTGTGCGGCAATCCAAAATGTACGTAAATATTTTATACCTGCGTACGACTAGTAGGCTTTCCCACTGCTTATTAGGAATTTTTAACTGAAAGGGAACAGAAATAGAATGTTTTTGAGAACTAAACCACTGACAGCTAGTAGATTTCGCAATGAAATCAGACCCAACCTCTAAATATCCGAAAACAATATCCCGGTAATTGCTTTGCACTTTTGTTCGTTAGTGCGTCGGTGACACAGCGGTAGAATGCCCGCAGACCACGGAGATGGTTCAGGGTTCGATCCCGGACGACACGCTCCTTTACCTTACTAAGCCAGTAACAAGACTGGTAGAGACGGAAGGCTGGGCATGAGGCTACCAACCCAATCCTGTAAAAATAATCACCACTGCTACAGAAACTTCAAGTCTCTAGCTTGAAGCCCCATTTTTCAGTGGGAACGTAAAAGAATAAAAGAATTGTTCGTTACTTCAAAATCCAACATTGTCACTTGTGACCAATAATTTATCTTTCACTGATTTTAAAAATCAACTGAGACAAAAATCAAACGGTCAGAAGTAGCATGTACGCTCAGAACGGCGAGTCATAAGTCTCTATAATAATTTCTTCAAGTTCTAAATGGTCACCGCATAAATAAACATTGTCTAATTCCTGTATCACAAGACGACGAACATAATGTGATAAAAACCAAGAGCCGAGACAACCAAATAGTAAATCCAAGTTACTCTTTAAGTGTACTGCATGTAAATTTGAAAACTGTTGAAAAATCTTTGATTTAAATTCAGCCTAAGACAAATCAACACCGCATAGCTTGGAAAAGTTCCCTCTTGAAATCTTCCAGTGGGAAGGCAGTCAACTACGCCACATGGAAATAATGAAATTCCTAGTTTACATGACATCCCTACGAAGGTAATAAACAACGTTGAAAAGATTTTGAAAGTGATGAACCCCATATATGCACAAAAAATAAAAACTATTCAACAGACTTACATCTCTTGTTCCATCTATGTCATGACCTGAACCTTCGTGTGAATGACCACCAAGAACGATAAGTCCCAGAATATTTATCAAAAGCCCACCACAGCCGACGTAGACCATAATTTGAGCACTTTCAATAGCCTGTGTCTCAATAAACCGCTCAATAGCTCTCAGAAGTATAGTCATACACAGAGTTATCAAAACAACTGTATTGATCAAACTACCCATCACTTCAGCTCTTTGCCAACCAAAAGTATTTCTAGATGACCGAGGCCATTTGGCTATCCGCGAAGCCACAATACCAACCACCAAGGCAAGACAGTCCGAAAGCATGTGAAATGAATCTGCGACTAAAGCGATAGAATGTATCGAAATCCCAACAATCAGTTCGACCAAAAAATAAAGCACAACGAGAACTAACATGAAGGTTAAACGGGCTGTATTTCCACATCGTAAGCCCATGACTTTTCAATACTTGTTGTATAGCTCGGTTAAAATTGAACAAGAAGGAAGATAATCAGATAAAGTGCATGAAAACAGTTATCCTCAATATGTACTATCACTGCCTTAATGTCGTATACTGAAAACTAGTGTTTAAAGTATGCGCTGTTACGGAGTTAATACTCTCAATTAAACAAATAAAACAAAATGTGTCGGTGAACTCAAAGTCCCAATCTATCATAAAAATCTGGAAATCCATTCTACTTTTACTTATTTTTTTAAAATGCGGGTATAGTTTTTACTTAGAACTACTATTCGAGATTCTGTGTTGCGAAACTTTGATCTCTGTTATTTTCAGGGAATACTATATGCAAAGTTCTCGTAGCCCTTGGCTTCGAGACGAAAAAGAGATACACTCACTGAATATAAATTTAGTCGACTGCCTCTTGCAACTGTGTGACACCTCAAAGGGGATAATTTGTTGGCTATTTTGTGAGATTGTTTGGCTAATGCTCAGGAAATTACCTTGCATTGCTTGCAAATATTTTCAGTCTGACCGATTAAGTAAAGAAGCAGCTGGCGCAGACGAATCAAAGAATTATTTCTTGGTTAACAAATAGAGTACACATAATAAAGATGTTTACACAGGGCAGGGTTTATCACTACAGTTACCAATTGATTTCTGTAAGTCTGACATCATAATATATATATATATATATTAACACTGCTTACCTTGTGACTCCATCCTCTGTGGTCTATCTTTATTACTTTGATATATATACATATAAAATTTCTAACAATACCATAAGAAAGTGGACCGTGATCCAGTGGTAGTATTGTGGCGAGTGATACTTATATTCAGATATAAGTAGTATATCAGGTAAAGAATTCAGAAAACTAACAATATGTTTTGGGCACTGAAAAGGCGATTGAAGAATAAAACTCTGGGAAGAATGTTACATACTGTGTGGAATCCAACAAGCTATCTAATTTGGTGATATTTCACCAACTTGCAAATGATGTGCAAATTAAGACCTAATGATAAAGTACATCAAATTTAAGAACCTATATTGAGTTTGTTCTGATAAACATAGCCTTTGAGCCTCATCGGTCTTTCCTTATTTACAACATAACTTACGAATATGCTATTATTACATCCCCAAAGAAATTACAACCATCATACAGACAGTGTGGTATGAATACACTGCATTATTAAGGCAGTCATTGTAGGCTTGACACACCAGATATTCACTATTATCAACGAATAACAGCTGCACAACCTTACCTAAGCGTTTAATTGAAGTTAATTCGCTTATTAATTGTCTGCACTGTCAGATTATCAGCACAGTCATTGTCGCATGGACTCTATTTACTGTGAGCGACAGCCTGGCTGGGCACTTTGTAGCAGATATATGTGCCGTACATTAGGAGTTAATCTGAATACTCAAGTGAAATTTACTCCTTCACAGAAGATATGTTTAACATTTCATTCACAAATGAATGTCCTGGTTCTCCCACTTCCACTTCACACAATGGATGAAGTGCAAAGCGGCATACCACTCAAGTGTACAGAAGAAAAAGACAACTGCTTCTCTTTCCTAGGTATGTTATCCACAGCAAACCTACTTAAGCAGATCTCCACCCTAAATATCCCAGCTCCTGCCTTCTTCAGAGCTCTAACTAGTTAGCTCGTTAGTACAATCAGAAGACTGCACACCGAAAATATAGCTGGAAGTGAGGAAGGGGTGCAGATCTAAAACTGTAGTCAAAAGCTATTCATTAGGCAATTTAATGCGGTGAGAGCACCAAAACCACAGTGTCAAGCTACCCTATGTAGTGTTCTACTTAGCATTTATCCAACCAAATAGCAAGAAAAGTGGGATACACTCAACATGGTCACAGATTTTTATGGGTTTATCCTGACATTATCGTAATGATCTTCTTGGCCAGAAATGATGCTCGGAAACATTTGGATGGTCGGCTGGACACATCTCTTGTTTCAGGAAATTGTTTGAGAAATTGGGTTTTAATGGAAAGAGTTCACAACTAGTCGAAGTAACGATGAATGGATTACCGCAGGACAACAGTTCGGAAGCTGCTGGGAAATCATTTTCCCTAGACAAAAGGATGTCAGCAATAATAGTGATGCATATTTCGTAAAAACAGGTAAGTTTACATGAAATACATGCTATTTTTGCAGGCACGACCAGACATGGTGTGAATTACAATCAAGGAATATCAAGAAACTATATAGCCAACCAATGGACAGCCTATATTTGGGTAGGCGCTATGTCTATGCGTGACCAATAGCTATTTCAGGAGGAGAAAAAAGTCCTGACAAACTGAAAATGGCATAAAATACGAATTAGGATTACATATCGTTGAAACTATACTTAGAAGATGCATATAAGAAGGAGCCATAGAGTCCTTGGGATGATAATATATATTTGTAATGTAAAATCACTGCCAACTTCTGATCTAGTCGATTAACAAATCGAGATTTCCTCATGCAGCTTGTGTTGCAGCAAAGTACTCAGTGGCTTCTTGTCAGGTGTCTACGATTAGCACTGGTGCGTCTAGACACCTCTATATTGAAGGAATTTTAAGATTACACCAGATAAATTATTGTAGGCATTCTGTCCCCACATTTGTTGATCGTTCACTGACGTATCAGTGAACCAAGCCTCACAGTAGATGAAATATTTAGTGAGACGCCACTTATGAAGATCGCGTCTATTGCTTACTATTTCTTGATTGTATGGTGGATCAGGGTGTCAGTATTTCTACATTAGTGTAACCATCAGTAAGCCTGCAGGACGAAGCGGCTATTTACTGTTTCGGAATGCTAGCCATTTGGATATTGTAACTCTCTAAATTCACGGTCATATGCCAAATTTCGGTTACCTAATATTTTCTTGCTACTAACACTTGATCATATGTTCAGAATCACTGAGTGGTCCTGGCACTTATGTTATTCATCTCCCATGTGTTCTAGTGGCATAAAGTCGACCACTCCTTCCACACTGTTGCTTCTGTATTAATCTGGTACATCAGAACCAATCAGAAGATTAAGTGCATTACCCTTGATATGTGACGTCTTGATGTTAGTCAAAGGTTTCCAGATATTTCACGATTCCTTAGTACTTAGTCGATTGGTAAATATGGATATTTAACGATATTGCTTAACTGATGGCAGCCACCTGTGAATCACGTAGTTAAGCTGTTGTGTAGTTAACTCGCTACATTGACTAAAACCTAGTTGATCGATAAATCTCCGACTTATCATCCGTCCTTTAACACCGCTTGAATCGAAAACTTGTTAGTGGTGTTACGTTAAAATTCAGTGGCTTTTCACACGTGTTTCAGCTGTTGTTCATTTATCGGCTTCTACTATATAAGGATGAATATTAATGTGTCAAAACTCTCAATAAATTGCTCTTGGGAACGCCATTAACTTGGAAAATAGCATGAACTCTTCTAATAGTGCACTATCATCCCTTAAATCAATTTCTATTGGTGGCTCACCTAACGCTAATTGCTCGATCATAATGCTGACCTCTGTTAAACTGGTGAAGAATGTTCTGTCAGAAAAAAATATAGCTTTCTGACCTAATTTGCATCATGAACGACATGCTGTTGCAAAGAAGTGAATTCAGGACGAAATTAGATACTTGACTTCATACTTGAAACTCTTGTGAATATCAGAAAAGAACTGAGGATCTCACCATTATAAAAATCTTTAATATGAAGCCTCGATTAACCCACGCTGACTCGGGAATTTCAAAATAGCTGAACAACGCCAGGGACGTTTCATCGGGACAGGCTGTTAAAATAGCATCACCTGAGTAGAACGGCTTAGTGTAAAATATACCTGACAATAAACCACTGATGTTTGTTCAGCACTCCTTGCTAAAAGCTGTAAGCCTTCTGGGTACACCCATTTAATGCACTCGGTTAAATGAAGGAGGCCAAAAACGCTCGTGTCCCATACTCTTCAGATTTCACAGGCATATATTAACGCGGTACGTCCAACGTTTGCGTTACATTTTTGCGTGATTCGTTACATGAAATTTATCTTGTTGTAATCCTTGCACAAGTACTCTACTACCTCCATACCTATAACTATTAACTCTCATATCAAATAGTTATGGTTAACCAAAGTAAAAAGCGAAGAACTCAATCCCCTGTAAATTTGATGACTAGTTTTAAGTCGTTGATTGCTACATCAAGCAACACACTCCCTACAAACGGTTATAGTGAGCCACATAACTCAACTGTATGTCGTAAGCGTCGAGCTGAAGCTGAGGATAAAACTGTAATGACAGCTAGTGTTAGCACTACTCCCAAAAATTCAGTACCCTCTGCTCATACAGAAACCCTCCCTACACCTTATGTGCTTATCGAAAAGCTCCAGCCTTCAAGCTCTGTTTCAGAACAATCGTCAGAAATAGAACTTCTAAAGTTGTCTATAGAAGAACTTAAGGCCAAGTTAAGGGAAATAAAAAACAATAATTCAGTAAATCCTGGAATTTCTGAAACCAATACCAAAATATCCAAATTATCAGATCAGATCAGCGATATCAGATCGCAGGT